ATTTTTTCAGAAAATTGAACTCCGAACGGTCCAAAATGATGAATCATGTCAATTTTAGTACTTGATAATATGAACCTGTTAATCGGACAAAAAAACTAGTCGGACTTAAGTCTTAGGACCAAGTCCGGGACCAAGTCCTGAGACTTATTATCAGGACCTGGTCCGCAGGTTTATTCAACAGGACTTATAGGTCCTGGGACCAAGACCGGACCAGGACGGACTTAACCATCCCTAACTGAAAGGTTAACAACCATTTATGGAAACAAAATGTCTCGGCCAAACTATCTTGAAATTATCCGCTAAAAAGGTTATTTTATGAAAATCATTTTTTTTTTTTGATTTTCGCGTTTCGTGTTTGCAGTTATAGTTTCAAAATGATAAAGGTATTGCCGATCCTGATTATTTAAATCATGATTGGCCAATTAAAATATAGATCGTGCATGTAGATCATGTAGATTACAAAAATCCATCTTGTAAAATGAAGACTAGAAACTTCGGACCATGTTCTGTTATTAATTGTACAAATACAAATGTTAGATTTCGTGTAATAACAGAGCTTGCATACGAAAATGTATAAAAATCAAATTTTTACAAAAATACCCTAATATCGAAATAGGAACAGCTTTGTTGTTGGTAGTAGAAAATTCTAATTGTAATAAAAATCAACAAGAAAATATATTAAACCCAATAAATTCTAGGTCGAATAATAATAATACAGGTAATTTAGAAATATATTTTTTTTTAATTATATTATATTATATAAGGTGCAGATATTTTCACGTCAGAAGATTTTGAAGATAATGAAGAAGGAGAACCCTGAAGAAATAGAAGAGAATTAAATATTATCATGTGAATATTCTTTCAAATACTCCTAGAAGCTGAAATTAATCAAATATATCTGTGGTAAAAATGTAAATTGGCAAAAGAACAGCAAATAAACATTCAACTTGCAGTAAAAACGTTAACCACACTTTTTTCCCTTTTAAATTAAAGTTTGAGTTGGTTTAAACGAAGTTATATAAATTATCGATATGCTTTCAATTTATTAATCACTTGACAACTAATTGTGTAACTGATTAACTATGATTAATTTAGTTAATCGACAACCTTTTTTGATAGTTAACAAGAATTATAAAACTTAGTTAGTATATTAAACTTTTAATAATTGTTTAATTAATATGTAAAATATAAATGAACAAATTATTTACTCTTACCCATTAAGTCAAGATACATAATCCTGAGATTGGTGATCCCGAATTTGATTTTGTGCATCTGTGCATCGTCAATGCTTATGACTATAAAAGCCTCATCCATAGTTTATCGTATTACGTAACTAGTTTAAGCAAGTTCAGTATTCAACGAAGTCTTGAACGCCGCCTTTCAACTTACCCTTGTTCATTTTGCTTTGCGTTCCCGGCGCATTGAGATCCGCATGCAATCTCGACAGCCCGCACCGATTGCCCCTCCACCTCAATTATATCGATCCTCACAATCTGCTTCTTTAGTTCAAGTATCAAATCAAACGCTCTCTCCAATTTCAACCGCACATCACCAAATTTCTCCGCCAGTGTCAAGAACTCATCAAAACCGTCAACTTCGAGGTCTTGACACTTCACCTTCTACTAGCGTTCGTTCCGATTTTCTTCTTCCACCTCAAACAGGTGTATCTTCGCCAATTATAACAAGCTTTCAGCCTCTCTTTAGTCCAAACTTAAACTCTCCTCTTACCCCTCGTAGACCTTATCCTGGAGTCTCTTGTCTTATACATGAAGGACAACGAGCGTTTATACAAAGAAGAATTTTGACTGATATACAAATTTTTACTAATTTACAAATTCATCAACTAAAGTTTATATGTTCGGGTAGAAGTATTTCTCCCTACGATTTGGAAGCCTGGGAAGCAATGTTGAGCAACGAAAAGTTTCCGACTACGAATTCTGGGTGAGTCCGCCGAAAGTTCTGTTAATGCAATTTAGCATAGTGACAGAATATTGTTTAGGTATAATCCAGTGCAATTTTCACATGGAATGCATCCTGTTTTAAATGCACATTTGTTGCTTTTATTACCTTCCATCTGGTTAATAATAAAATCTAATGGAATATTTGTTTTTATTTAATATTTTTTTTGTAGTCAAGATGCTTACGATGTTGATATTGCGACTGTGAGCCTTGCCATTGAGTTTGGTAGGATTTCTATTATACGCATGTTTTAAGTCGTTAATTATCATCTATATTGATTTGTTATTTCAACTTTTAGCCAGCAATAATACCAAAACTGCAAATTTCAATACTTTGCTTCTTCATGCGTTAAGTCAAATGCGTCGCATAATAGATCCCGAATTCCATGGGTAATTGACGTGATTTTTAACCTTTTTAACTTATTTCTTTTACTTTTATTATGGAATGTTAATATTACCTTCTTATTATTCAGGGAAGTTCCAGTAGAAGCATATAATTCCTTATTTCTTGTGAGAGTTTTTTCAAAACACTTTATTGGAAATTTATCGCTTGATGAAATTCATCGACAATTTGAAGGTTTGATTATTTATTTGAATTCATCTGTTTTAATTTATATGAATACTAATTATATTAATTTTTTATAGGAAATCATACCATTGCAATAGGATCAACTAAGCTTAATGGATTGAATTCTAAAATTGATGAATATAAACGTGCTCCAATTGAACTTGATCAAAAAAAACTTGTGATCGATCCTAAAGTTACTCGGGATATCAGGCCAAAGGCTGAACAACTTTTGGATGGGTTATTGACAATTATTTTGAAGTTGGATCCAACGTAAGAAAACTAATTTAAATTAATATCTCATTATTATTTGATAGCTTTGCTTTTCATTTAATTCCCTTTGTATCCTAGTTCAAATGCGTCAACATATGAATATTATCAAGAATGTTTAAACACTTTGTTGGTTTTACTCTCAGCACAAATACACCAATCAAATGCAAGTCAAATAGAAAACAATTATTTTCTAAATATTTTATTGACTAACTTTAGGTAAGACCATAATAATATTATTATCATTATCATTAAGTTATAATTTGCATTAATTTATATTTATGTATATCTACAGTGAGCTGGTCAATAACTTAACTAAGCGACTTGTGACAAACTTTATTGAACAAAAGACACCACCACCTGCATCCACAAGTATGAGATTAATTGGTTTATTTGCCAAAATTTTTATTTTTATTCAATCCAGCAAATAGAATAGTTCTATTTTTAATTTTGCTGGCACAATTACGTCACACGACAGGCGTTGTGTATAATGCCTATTCCTATCTTTTCCCTAGTAGATCATCGGCAACTTTACCATCAGATCCTCCGCCAATAGCAGAAAGAAGTTTACTTATTTTACTGTTACTCTCTGTTCAATGCCGAATTCCAGATGAGAAAACAAAAAATTTTCGCGAAGGAATTAGATCTTTAAAAGACGCGCAAGGTTCTTGGGATTTTTTTTTTTTTTTAATAATCTAGGTGGTCAGTATACATTTATAATACAATTTCCTTATCGTAAATGAATTTATTTTCTAGGAATCGATGAGAGCAATCTGGCAGTATCATTTCGTACTTTATATCAATTGATTTGTCGGTAAGCTATTCATTTGTAATAATTTTATCTTTAGTATAAAATTTTGTTATTTTATTATTTATTTATTTTTTAATCTTTTTTTTTTTTTTTTTCCATGGCAGTCAGTTGCCAAATGAAGAGATTTGTTTGTTATTATATCTATTCATGATCGAAAATGAAGATTTTAGGGTTTACGTTTTGTCTCGTTTAGACCCCGAAATTCTTGTTTGTATTATTATCATCGATCGTATTTTTTCTTATTTAACAATTAATTTTAATACTTTACTTACTATTTTATTTTTAATTAGTTACTTCAAATCCTAAGATTGTTGTATGATGGAATTGATAACAAAACAAATTATTCGCAGATGTATATTCTGCTTACAATTATTTTGCTTTTTAGTCAGGATGAAGTCTTTAACGAGAATATTCAAAAAATCGTATCCTTTATTAAATAAAAGAACGGATGTAAAAGGCTATTTAAGTATTTATAATTCATTGAATAGAGGGTTTTTTGGATATTCATTTCAAAAGTTATTTACTAAATTAGATGATGCTGAATTTTTACTTTGAATTTATAAAAAAATAAGCATAATATATGCACAGAGAATCAGCTTGAATGATTTAATAGGGTTATTTATCTAAAATAAGAGGAGTCGTACACTTAGGAGATAATATGGATGGATCAACCAAATTTAATTCAAAAAAAAACACTATTTAAGAAAATTCCACACAATGAATTTATGAATACGTCAATCAAGTATTGCCAACTATAACATGAACATTCGTATTATGAAATTGAAAAAGGTTATTATTTATTAAAGAAATATTATTTCCTTGATTCAAAGCAATTTTTGTAGTCTATATCATATCAACCATGGTTCACAGAAAGATTTTTAAAATCCATAACATTAGGAGGGTTGACGTATTTAGTCCTTATAAGGATTATACAGTTTAACCTCAGTTCCCATCAGGTAAGAACTTTACTTTTCAAGTTTATTTGAAAATCATTGATTATAATATAAACCATTTATTTTTTAAAGGATGTGTACTTTCACAACAACTGTTTAGCAATTATGGCTAACTTGGGGAATAGTATTCAAGATATACATCCATATGTTGCGCAAAGACTTGTTAAGTAAGCGCTAATTATCATAATTTCAATATATTGAAAGTTTTTGACACTTTCTACGAATAAAATAAATATATGATTTTTACTTTTCTAATAGCATGTTCGACATTGTAGCTAAGCGATATCAAAAATTATTAAAAAGAGCCCAGCAACAAGGTGAAGATGAAAATGTGAGTATTTGTATTAAATTTATATTCTTCATAATGCTATTATATTACGTTAAATTTTTTTTTTTTTTTATGTAAGTCTGACGCTGTCGCAATATACGGTGAACTCGTCAATTTAGTCCTGGAAATCATCAATTCAGTGTTGACTCGAAGACTTAATTCTAATCCAGAATTAATATATTCACTATTACATAAAAAGGATTTGTTTACGCATTTTCAATTGCATCCTCAGTTTTCAGAATTAATTGCTAATATTGATAATGTAAGAATCTCATGATCAAGTTATATTTTTAAACGAACAAAGCAAGTTAAATCTTTAAATTTTTAATTACATCAGGTAATTAGTTATTTTCATGCTCGAATATCCGAAGCAAATCTTAAATCTCCATCTGCGGAAGAGATTTCAGAGCTAATTGAAACTGCAGCAAGAACTTGGCCACCAGGCAGACTTAAGGTTTTGTATAAAATCTTATATTCTTATCTCATGGTTTTTTTAATAATGTCCTATTCAATTATAGGAGTTCCCTGATTTGAAATTCCAATATGAGGAAGAAACGGAATCACAAGAATTCTTTTGTCCATACGTGTGGGCTTTGATATATCGTCACACTTGGATTTACTGGGATGAGGATAAAGCTCATATCTTACGCGATTATATCATAGTAAGTTAATGGTTTTTTTAACATTCCTTTTTTTTATATTGGCTTTAATAAATTAATTTCTGCATATATACATTTTTAATGTAATTTCAGTATGATGATGAGATGGAAGATTCAGCTGTTCAAGTCGTATAAAATAAATACGAGTATTCGTAATGATTTATTATTTATGGAAAAATTTAGATTATAAAAAAAAAATAAAAGTCTATAACTTATTTTTCACGTTAGAATTAATGCATTTTTATAATATATTAAAAAAAAAAAATAGTTTTAATATCAGATTATTGTATAATAGTATTTACATTTTACTATACTAAAACAAATATCTGTAAAAGTTGTTTATTTATTTAGTTATCGCTATACATATATATTTATATAAATTTATTTACTCACCATATAAAGAAAATTAACAGATTAAACATGAATATTCAACGTCTCAATTATATATAAACATTAATAAATTTTACCTTCTACAGGGAGAAAGATTTTGAATCAAGTATTAAATTACTCATCTCCATATCGACGTCGATCCCATTCTGAATTGTCTCGACTTCCAAATCCACGACCGAATCCACCTCCTCCTCCACCACCACCACCGTATCCACCACGATTGAATCGTCCTCCTCCTCGGCCACCTCGACCACCTCTTCCAAAACTGCCCCCTTCGTTGTTATTACGAGGACCAGAAGCTTCTTCAGCACGAAGCTGTCTTCCTTCATATTCATAACCATTAATACTCTCCAAAGCTTTTTGGGCCACTTCTTCGTCATTATATTCGATAAATCCAAAACCGCGAGGTCTTCCTTCGAAATCCATAGGTAAACGAACCGAAGCGACTTCACCATATTTGGTACCAAGGTCTCTAAGCATTTGTTCATTAACACCCCAAGGTATGTTTGCAACATATATAGTTTTACTGACAAAACTTCGACTTAAAATTGAAGTGAAGTTGGTGATAAAAGGCGACCTTGTAGAAATGGCTGGTCGAATCGACCTATTTACTGCAGCGGTAATTGATTTATACATATTTTTATTTTTATTCTTTTAATTTATGTATTTCTTTTTATTTCGTTAAGGAATAAATAAAAATTTTGGTAAAAGAAAAAAGAAAAAAAAATTTTTTTTCGATTGATTTATCAAAAAATTTTTTTTCAATAGATTTATCAAAAAAAAAATTTTTTTTTTTTCATCACCTATTACGATCATTGGATTAAAGATCAATTTTTTACAGATCGGCCGTGTAACAACCAACGAAACAAAATTTAATTAACTCGTAGTATACTTTTTATACTTTTTCAAATAATTTATAATTAAAATTTTTAATTGTACTTGTACCATCTTCAAAAAATAAAATAATAAAAAAAAAAATAAAAAAGAATTTCCTACAAAATTGGTTTAAAAAAAAAAAAAAAATGTTTGGAACCTTTTAAATTGCTGTTATGTTATCATCAGATTTTAGTATATTTCATATATACCAAATCGTCAAAGTTCCAATAATGCAAAACGATAATAACCCTTCACAAGGAAAAACTCCTCACAAAGAAAATCTTTATTACATTATTAATTTAGCATACTTATGACTCGAACCAAACCAATGGATGGCAATTTTAAAATAAATGCCCTCGAGAAGTTGATTCTCGGTGGTTTTAGATCTTAAGGAAGTATGCATTTGAAAATAAAAAAAAAAAAATAATCCATTATTTAAATAATTTTGGATCCCTTAAATGATTGGCTCAAAAATAACAAAATATGAATACGATGTTAACTAAGAAAAAAGAATATAAAAATTATATATTTATTTGGTATTATTTCAAAATTTTATTTCAATAACTTTTTAGTTTTAATAATTATTATTATTATTTTTTTTTTTTGTAATTAGGTAATTTTAAAAAAAAAAGTTATAAAAATTTAAACTAATGTATCATTTATTATTTATATATATATATATATTTTTATTATCTTTCTTTATAAGAGAGAAAAAAAATGCAAATTTGTATTCTAATTTTATTTTTATTTTCAATGATAATTAAAAATGGTATTTTTTTTTTAAATTATTTTACTTAATATTATATATAATAATAGTAAAGGTTGCATTTACTACAAAAGATGGATTGAAAAATGGAATTACAGATTCAATTTACGGATTTTCTTTGCACAAAGAGTAATTATTTTTTGATCGGTATTTTTCCAGCTTTAATACGAAAAAAATCAATAAATAATGAATTATCATACGTTCTTGCATTCTTTCTTCTAAAATATTCGAGTTTCTCTTTTTCTCATGCTATCCTTCCGTGTTCATCTTAAAAAAATCTTGTAACTTTATCAATTTGCCTATCATTTTCTTACAATTATCTAAATATCTAAATATTTAAATAAGCAGCGCAAATAATTTCAAATTCGCATGATAATTACTAAAATGTGAAAATTTTTAAAATAGCCAAAACAATAAATTTAAAATTTCGCAAATTATTTATTAAGGTTTGTAAATGTAAAATTAAGGGAGATATTTGTAAATTATACAATGTCATTGGTTTTTTCCTCTAATTTTCTTCATTTTCTATTTATATTCTATACTACATAATGAACAAAGCTAAAATACATATAAAAATTAAAAGATGGAATAAATTAAATAAAAATTAATGTAATAAATTATTTCATGCCACTCATTTCTATTACTAAAGTCACATTTTTCGCAATAACCTAAGTAGTTGAAGAATTAGTATATTAATAAAGGATCCAAATATATAACATAAAAAGGGTCAAATCAAAATAATATATTTACCTCTTGCAATTCTACTTCCAAACACTTTACTCTCTTTCTCATATCATTTATTTCTTTTGTCACCTTATCTTTTTCATTTATAGATTCTTCAAATTTTTGTTGAATATGTATAAGTTTATCTTTCAATTTCTCACATTCGGAACGTGACTCTCTCAAAGAATTCTCTAATCCTGACAAACGTTGTGCGTTACCATTACTAAAACGATCTGTAGCATTTCTTATGTTACGTTGGAGTTTTTCAAGTGCTGCTAATCGTGACTGCATCGTTTCAGTTAACTTTGCAATTTCATCATCTTGCCGCTGCTTCATCGCTTGCAGTGATCGTTGGTGATCATTGAAAATCTGGGCTTTTTCTTCTTTATAGTCTTGGTGAACTACTTGGAGTTTTTGGGTTAGAGCTACTATTTGAACTTCGAGATTCTGTTGAGTAGCTTTGTATTTTTCAACTTGTTTTGTAAGTGAATTTAATTTAAAAGTATCGTTAGGACCATCTCGATTTTGAGAACGAGAATTATTCTGTATCATAGCCTCCCCCTCAATGAGTTTTTGTTTGAGATCCGAGACTTGATTATGTAGGTCTTCGATTTCTGTCATTGAAACTCTGAGTCGACTTTGAAGGTCATTTATTTTTGTATCCGCATTTTGTTTTACTCGATCAGCATCAGCTTCAATAGTCCGTAGCTTTGCTGTCAAGCGACTTGTCGAAGACTCATAACTTTCAATACGAGCTTGCGATTGTTTTTTAAACATTTCAAGGTTTAATATTTCATTTTCTTTATTTGCACATTCTCGTAGCGCCTCTTCATATTTTTGCGATAGTTCTAGTTGTTTTGTTTCATAATCTTGAGATACTTGTAAAAGTTGTTCTAACCCTTCAGAATGTTTCTTCATATGATCCAATTCACTACGAAGTTCTTCTAATTCTGAATCTCTATCTCTCAGTTCAATTTCATAATTAGAAGAAAGATCGGATTCTTTCTGAGACCAAACTTCTCGTTCAGCTGCCATTTCTTTCATTAAAGTTCGCATACCATTTTGATGTTCTTCCAATAATTTTGATAGGGATTCTTTTTGTTTTTCAACGGTTTCTAAATCATTAGTCAGTTTTTCAGCAACCTCTTTCTTTTCTGATATGACTAATCTATTGTTTTCTTTTAATTCAAAATTATCAGTCTCAAGTAGCTCAACTTTAGAACGAAAAACGGAAATGTCATTTGACAATTGCTGATTTTTATGTAAGAGTTGTTGGTGTTTAGCATTTAATTCTTTAAAAGCAGACTCTACACCTGCGAGACGACGAGTAGTTTCTTTCAATTCCTCCACAGTTTCAGAATTTTGTACGCTATTTCGTTCTATTCTCGAATTCTGGTCGGCTAATTCTTTTATTTTAATTTCATATTCTTTTACAAGTCGATCACGAAGTTCTTGTAATTCTTTTTTATGGTCAATTTCCATTTTCGTACGAAGTAACGTTATGGATTGCTCTTGTCGTTCTTTGAAATTTTGTAAATCCATCTTCTTACTTGATTCTAGTTCTTCAGTTTCAGTTTTCCTACGTTCCAATTTAAGTTGAAGTTTGTTTATCATATCTGATTTGTCTTCGATCAGTTTTTCCAAGTCTTCACAACGTTCACTTTCCTCATTAAATTTCAGTTCTAAATTTGATAATTGAACTCGTAAGCTCGAAAGTTCCTCATCGGCATTATTTAATTGTTCACGAAGTGTCTTGACAATTGGTTCAACTTCTCCTTCCGACTTTGTCTTAGCATCCAATTGTCGTTTCAAATCTTTAATTATCTCTTCAGTTTTTTGTTGGAACGTTTCGATCATCTTACTGGTACTCTCCTTATTCCGATTGAGAACACTTATTTCCTTGCGTGAACGAGCGTGCTCATCCTGTAATTCAACTATTTTGTCTTCTTTTTGTTGAATTGTCGTTTCCAAAGCATTCAGATGAATTTTTAAATTTAATAAGATGGATTCTTTTTCTCGTTTGTCTTTAATCCAAGAACCCTCGGCAGCTTCTTTTTCACTCAATTCATGCATTAGTTCTTCTATCCTATTCCGTAGTCCCTTCTCACCTTCCCTTTTCATCCGCACTAATTGATCCTTTATTTGCATAAAAGCTTTTTTAGTTTCTCCTCGCATCATTGAATCTAACTGATTTACATGTTCTACACGAAGTATTTCGATCTCTCTCTCATATTCGTGCCTAATGGACCGTTTATCATTTTGGAACGTCTTTTTATTTTCCATTAACTCAACCTCCGCCTTTTCTTTTAACTTTTTCATCGACTTTAATTCCGTTATTATTTTATTCTTTTCTATATCATGAAGCCTCATTAATTCTTCTGTTCGAGATTCATAACGAATAGATATTTCATTCATCATCTTTTCCTCATTACCTTTACTTTGATTAATCAATTCTTTTCTTAATTTATCCATTTTCGAATTGTTTTCTTTTTCCATATTATCTTTAAGTTCTTGAATAACTTTTTCAAATGCTTTCTTTTGATCATTTATTGACTTTTCATAATCTAGCATTGTTTTATTAAGTTGAGTACTATGTTCTTTTCGTAATTTTTCAAGCTCTCCCTTGTGTTGCTTTTGTTGTTCTTCAAGTTTGTTCGTGAGAAATTGAATTTCCTCTACATTTTTCTGATAAACGTTGAATGAATTTTTAACATCCGTATTTGGTGGGGAAAGTTCAGATTTCGTAAAATCAAAATTCGAGTCGACTGGAGTTGTAAGACGAGTGCTGGTTGCACTAACCGAATTATTCGATGAAAGAAATTGTAAACTTGAATCCGAATAACTATCATCTCTTTCATGTTTTTTATATTGTAGAAGGTCATTTTCAAGACTTATCGGCGAATGAATTTTTTCATCATATTTAGATGATAAAGTAGTATTAATATCAAAATTATTTTTTTTTCGTTTCGAGTTTTTCCTCTTCCCAACCGTTATAAGCTCTGATTCTAAAGCCTGTATTTGAGTGGCCAATAAAGCCATGGTAGCAAATGAACCGCCCTTTGGTTGGCAAGACATTGTGGTTGAATTATTAATATTATATTTTGTAGGATAACCTACTTTTTCCGAAATTCCACGTTTATTACTTTCCATATCTGCTGAGTCTACCAGAGACAGAGATATTTCGTCGTAAATGTCTTTCTCACGATATAAAGTATTAAAAGTATCAGAAACTTTCCATCGATCTTGAGAATTCGTCAGAGAATTTTTAAACGCCATGAAACTCGAATTCCATAAAGGATACTTTAAAGAAAGAAAATTTTTAAGTAAAAAAAGAGGCAGATTTGATAAGTTCTGAAATGCGTTACATATTTATTTTTATCTCCGAAACCACTGAGGGACAATTCGTAATACGCATGCACACATGAATGATCTTTTATTGATATTTTGGGTTAATTAGTTATTTCCTGATTTACGTGAAGGTCAAACTTGCATGCATTTGCATATAAGCCTTTTTACGTATTTATGTGTAGCAGTGAATGTGAATTTTTTTTTTCTAATAAAAAAAAAAAAATTTTTTTGTAACAAAAATCTCAAAATGTCAACTTACTCTTCGATTCAAATCGAAGGAGAAGGAAGGCCCTCTTCTGCAGGCAATACCATATTCGAAAATAATGTTCCAATAGATCGGTCACCATTATTAAGCGGAGATATAGTGATCGAGGATGAAAACGATTACGAGGGTGAAGGACCCGGCGGAGCACAACATGGATTCGCTAGTTATTACTCTTGTGCGGTAGGTCATCAAAATATATACGAAAGGAGGACCTCCTTGTCTTTAGCTAAATCAAGTTAATGACAAATGAGAATATCGAACGAATATCTTGATGGTTTTATTTTCAAACTTATTTAGATTTCTTTAAAAACGTAGATCAATCTTGCCAATACCATTCTTGGAACAGGGATGTTAGCCATGGTATTTATTTTAGGTTTTTTATTGCCTTTTTTTTTTTTGTCATTACACAACCTTTTGATGGGAACCTTTTTTATTTTATTGAAAATGATTAGCCAGCAGCCATAGCATCAGTCGGACTTTTAATTGGTAGTATAATGATAATTTTTGCGGCAACCACTTCTGGACTTGGATTATATTTCTTGTCCCGTAGCGCTTCATATACAAAGAATCGTAATGCATCATTTTTTGCTGTATCACAATTAACTTATCCATCGGCATCCTCATTATTTGATGCCTCTATTGCCATAAAGTGTTTTGGAGTTGCCGTTTCATATTTAATCATTATCGGTGATTTGATGCCGCAGGTGATAAACGGTTTCGGAGATAGTTTCGTAGATGAGTATTCAATATTTATGGATCGACGATTTTGGATAACTGTCTTTATGTTCGTCGTCGTACCTTTGGCATTCTTAAAGAGACTTGATTCTCTAAGGCATACTAGTTTCATCGCATTAATTGCTGTAGTTTATTTGGTATTTATCGTTATTTATCATTATTTCGGGCCTGATTATAAAGCCCCTCCAAAAGAAAAGATACATCTTGTGAAATTTTCAACAAAATTTTTTACAAATTTACCAATTTTTGTTTTTGCCTTCACGTGTCATCAAAATGTGAGTAATGCGTCTTAGTAATGCATGAGCTTGAAAGCTTTGATTTATTTTTATTTATTCGTTTTTAATTTTGATTCCTTGTTAAATAACGTTGGTATCCTTTCCCCCCCTAGATCTTTTCGATCTATAATGAACTTGCAGACAATAGTCAAAAAAATATTAACAGTGTTATCGTTGGTGCGATCGGAACGTCGGCTACAATATATCAGGTCATTGGAATATTGGGATATTTGAGTTTTGGTGATGACGTCTTGCCAAACGTCATTTTGATGTGTAAGTGTTTTTTTTGATTTGATCTCTTTTTCAGAAAAGAGAGAGGATGAGATCTATTCATTTCGAACCAAAAAACTAAGCCCACCTACTCGTTTTTTTGTCTTTGTTTTATTTTTTTTTACCCTCCAGACAAATCAAGTTTTTTTGTTACTATCGGTCGTATAGCATTCGTGATTTGCATACTTTTCTCTTACCCATTACAAGCGCACCCGGCACGCGCTTGCCTGGAAAAATTACTTTTTTATAGATCAAATTCCACGAATGGTTATAAGAAACTTTCTTCATCAGAGATGTCAAATGTAAATTATTTCGGGCTAACATCCGGTATCCTGATATTTAGTTATATCATCGCTATATCGGTATCAAAATTAGATTTGGTAAGTAATATAGTATCATGTTCCTCATCAAATGACGAGAATCTATTTTATCATCTTTTTTTTTAATCATCAACTCTCCCCTCTCAATTACAAATCAGGTACTTGCATTCGTCGGATCAACAGGATCCACGGCAATTTCTTTTATATTACCGGGATTATATTATTATAAAATTCATGAAAATGATCCATGGGATAAAAGGAAAATATTGGCGGCATGTTTAATAATTTATGGTTTATGCGTCATGACCATTTGTTTGACGTTAAATATCGTAAAAGTTTCATCCTGAGATTGTTAACTTGTTTTGTCGAATTATGAGTCGGATTTCAAGTATGAAATTCGTCTCTCTTTTTTTTTTTTTTTCCTTTTTTTTTTTTTAGAGTTTCATAAATATCATATGATAGCATTATTATGTTATATGACATGTATAATAGAATTTATTTATAAATAGAATTTATCTTTATTGAAATAGAGTAATCATACACAATAAATAATTTAATTTAAAGGATCACAAGATTCAAGTCATGTAAATGGCTTATTATCACTTTAATATATATCGTAAGTTACAAGAAATGGTACAAATCAATTATAAATAACTTTAATACATCTGAATTCCGTTATCATTTCAACTTTCTCGTTTAACATCATGCGGATATTATCAAATTATGCAAAATAATCTATTATGAAAATTCAATTCCTTTTTTTTTTTTCCTGGTCATTCATATATCATCCTGCATCATATTGCCTCCAAGGACAACCTTTTCTCCAGGATTAAAAGACGGCATTCCAAGGTAGGGACATGTTGAGCATCTGAACGCATCTCCAAGATAACACTGAATAAAGAAAACAACATAAGTAATCAAACTATCAATAAATTTGGGAAAAACAAACTTTGAATTATACGTACACTCCCACAAGACGAAGTTTGAGCCTTTGGTGCTGGTTTACTTTCTTTTTCTAATTCTTCGGCAAGACCACATGAACAATTCTTGCAAGCCTTTTTCTTTCCGCTAGTTTCACAATCGGGTCCTATAATTACAAATATCATATATAAATAATAGTAAAAAAAAAAAAAAAAATTATAAAAAAAAAAAAAAATGAAATGAAAATGATGCTTCTCATGATATTTACGAGTTAAAGTGCTCTTATCAGGTTTAATCAAATCATCATCATCCAACAATTGATCTTCGTCGACTAATTCATCATCATCAGTAGAAAGAGTCCATATGGAGGCTTTCTTTGTAGTACCGTTACCTGTTGAGCATAAAACGAATGAATCTTGAGTACAATTAATTCTTATTCATTCAATTATTTATTTTTTAAAAAGATGAATGTTTTCGTTACATACCGTTTGCAGCTTTTTTGGCAAATGACAAAGCAAATGAAGCACCAATTTCATACGTTGGCTTTTTAGCTACAACTTCGACTAAATGTAATTGGCCATTCAATGAATGAACCAGATCTTTTTTCTTATTCTCATCCGTAATTCCCCAGACTTGTTCTACAATATTGACCAAATCATTCATCTCAACTTTAGTAGCATTTTTGATTTCAAAATCTACGAACCCAGATAATTTGAGTTCACTAATTAAATCTTGAGTCGTGCGAGTGATTGGAACTTCAGCGGATCCTAAAGAGAGCAAGACGGGTTCCTTGAGATAAAGGATACCACCTGGTACTAACGTCAAAGCAAACTTTGAAAGTGTTGAGGTATTATGAGCGGAAGCTAAGGAGCCAAAATAATTAGTATAAATGATATTATATGCGGAATTCGGTAGATCGCCTAAAATAATAAAAATAGAAACGAGTTTAATGTCAAAAAGTTTGCTGCAAGGTAAACTATGCAAATCAAGCTTTACCTTGAACTATTTGACTTAATTTTTCAATATTGACAAAACCACTTTCAGTGACCTGTCGCATCAAAAATGATTTAGCTTCTTCAAGTTGAGAAGGATCCGAGTGAGATGAGTTGATCAAAAGAACTTTACTGCCGGGTGAGACTTGTGTAAAAGACATATTATTAGAGAGAGAGAGAAAAAAAAAAGGAAATTTGAACATTGAAAATTGTGTTTGATTCACATATTTATGTGATTATCTATACCAGAATAGGCTGGTGCATTTTAAGTTTTGCTTACAAACTTACAAAAGAAACGCCACCTTATCTATCATCTGGATTATAGTTTGTTTTTCAAATGTTATCTGCCCAAATCACGTAAATATAATGATTGATCTAGCCTAAAAAGGTCAATTAAAAGATCTACGCTAAAAGTCTGTGTATGGCACCCTTCAGATCTGGATCTATTATTTGTTATATAAATTAAATCTCAAACAAATTTAAAAAATTTTAACAAAAAAAAAAAAAATCATGACTTCCCCTAAACCAAGAACTATTGCGGTGTTGGGTTCACGAGCTGTGGGTTAGTTGAGATATATATATATATATTTTTTTTCACGTTATTTATTTTATTAATTTATCATTTTTTTTATATATAATATAAGGTAAGTCGTCATTGACTATTCAATTCGTAGAAAACCATTTTGTAGACTCCTATTATCCTACTATTGAGAATACATTTAATAAAGTCATAAGGTATAGGGGACAGGAAATCGCGGCAGAAATTATTGATACTGCAGGACAGGTAAATAATTCAAAATATGAAATTAAACTAGAATAAACGAGTAGATTGAAATCCAACTGTTTATTTTTTTTTTCTTATAATCAGGATGAACACTCAATTTTGAATTCTACACATGGAGTAGGAATTCATGGGTATATTTTGGTGTATTCGGTTACATCTCGACAGAGTTTTGAAATGGTCAAAATTATTCGAGAAAAAATCCTGAATTTCACGGGGACTGAAGTACCAATAGTTTTGGTTGGGAACAAAACAGATTTACATATGCAGAGGTAAGCTTCTTGTAGATATTTCAAAAAGTTAATTGCTTCATTGATAACTAAAATTTAATTTTCATTATGAAAGACAATTAACTTCTGAAGAAGGAAAAGAGTTGGCTCGGCAATGGAATTGTGCTTGGACTGAGGCATCAGCGAAACATAATGAAAATATAAGTACGTTATCGTTGTTATTTACCTATTTGAATGAGATGGTGCTTGCAGAAATTAATTGATTTATTTGTTTATTTATTTATTTTTAAAAAAAAAAAATTAGCCCGAATTTTTGAACTCATGATAAGTGAAATTGAAAAACAACTTAATCCAAACGGAGAGGAGAACAGTGGATGTTCCATTGGTTAATTAATGTAATACTGTAACTCATCTAGATTTCTTTGTAGGATTTTCTTTTTATTAATTCCTTTATTTAAATGACACTTTGTATTTTAATTTCTTTAAAAGTTTTGATAATTAAATTAGAAACTTCATGTGTAAATAATATTTTGTTTATTTCGGTTTAGTTTGATCTCCTTTTAGTTATTAAGAATTTTTTCGTTAAATTCAAAAACAATTATTTACAGAAATTTAAGATTAAATCGAAATAAAAGTCTATTCTTAGATTTTCATCCGAGAGTAACATCGGAAAATTTCATGCTCATGAAACCAATTTCTGCAATTAAATAATGGGTGTAATGTGTGGCTTGTTTCTTATGTCTCATGCATGACACGAATGAAATAATGTTCATGTGATCTCATTTTTTTGATTATTTATCAACTCACGGGCAAATAATATAAAATCTAAAATGCATATGGTGACAAAAATGTTTTTGTTATTATTAAGTTCCACAATATATGTGCAGTAGATCAAAGCCAGATTTGGCTTTCTATTGTAGCGGAGTTGAGAGAAAAGTCGAGAAACCTCAGAGACACTATTTTCTTCTATTGCCTGTTGCGGATTATCGGAGATATCATTCATTCATGCAGTCAATTAGACCTAATATCTTGCCGGTCACTATTGAGACAATTAAAAAAGAAAAGATTACCTGATGTGAATACACGCATTCAAACCTCACCAAAAAAAGGTAAGGTCGGCCACGTGATCGCGGTGGTTATCGAGAATGTACTCCAACATTTTTAACTATTTTTTTTTTAGTGCAAGATTCGGGAGACAATGTTATTTGCCAAACACTACTCTTTATTACATTACATACATTATTTATTATATTTATTATTCAAATAAAGAATTATGAAAACAGGTTATAGCCAAATTAGATTTAGATCGACTAATTGATCTAGCCATATTGGGTTAATCAGTTTTTCGTGCATGTATGTATTACATAAATTCAAAGATTTATGGTAGACATAAAAAATCTTATCATTTTCTTTTTTCACTTTTTTTATTTTTAAAAAAAAAATCTCTATTCATCTATTTTGTTTATATCATTCGGACTAACGAAAAGGGCATAGATTGGAATAATTTTTTCGCGACCCAATTAATGTTTTCCCATGAGATTGGATTGAAATTAATAATTTATGATATGACCCTTTCACAAACTAAAATCTTTTGAAGCTTGACAAAAAATGTATTATTTTGAAGGATACATTGGTTACAGAACTTTATTTCTGGGTGTTTTGAGGCGGATCAACTAAGCCACTGAGCCGAGTTCCTAATATAACAATTGTAAATTTAGCATCAATGATCATTCTGCAATCCATAATAATTATGAGGAAAATTGAAAATTTCAAACCTATAAATACCTCCAAAATCCCAAGCCTTTTTGCTTAATATTAAAGGGTATTAGGCAAAATGAAAGGTTACCTTATTGGATGAATTCTAATGGTAGAAAATATAACAAAGAAAGAGTTGACTAAAAATAGTGGACTTGGTAAGGGTTTTTAAATGTTTGGCATTGGGGCAGAGCAATTCATTTATTTATATTCCATTTATATTCTGAAACTTTAACATGTAGCGAATTGACGATCTCCAAAAGAAACAGCCGGAGTTACAATTTTTTTTTTATCACTTGATTTGTGGCGCTTTACCCCTAAAATTCCAATTTGGGGTTTCAAATTCCCCGCAGTCGGATAGCGTTACAGGTGTGTAGAAATTTTGTTGCCACAAGTAAATCCATTACATTTTTCGCCCGATATCTTTTTACCGTTTTTTTCTTTCCTTTATTAAATTTTATTAAAAAATAACTATTTTTATCCAAAAAAAAAAAAAAAAAAAAATTTTTTTGTCAGTGGGAGTAAAATCCAAGGTCATTTTATACGAAAAATGTCGAATCCACAAGCGTTAGTAAAGTTTTATGTTAAATGTATAAACACTTTATCTTGTCACGATACTTAAATTTTTTTTTTTTTCTCACCTCTTTTGTTAATGTACTTAAATCTAA